TGTTCAGCAAAAAAGTGTAAATAAGAGACTCATCAAACAGGATAATAATATTTTTTTAAAAAGCTCTGATATTCAACCAAAAAAAAAATGCTCTTACAATGCATCCATATCCACTCAAACAAAGACTAACTGTGTAGCTGTGTTACGGGAACAACGATCAGCAAACAAGAGTGCAGCCCAGCACACACATCAGAACAAGAAGCAGCAATAAGGGACTGTGCACCAATGCAGGACTGCTGCTGCTGTCACTTAACTGTGTAACATTCAAATGGATTGAAGCTGAAGAAGGAGAATTAGTTGGCATATTTTGTGATGGCGAAGTCTCAGTAGCAGATGAATGACTGGAAGTTGGAGGATTGCTCTGAGAATTCTGATTTTTCTCTTGTGTCTCATCTTTGCTTTCTTTATTATTTTGGCCCTCAGTGCCCTGTTCATTCCGCTGCTGTTGGGCAGTTGTATGGCTTCCCGCCTCAGCTTGTGCGGAATTGGTATTCGGGTTCTTTATCGCCTCTTCGTTCGGTTTATCTTGATGTGAACCATCCACCTCCTTATTTTCGTTTGGTGATGGCGTCTTATTACCTTCGCTTTCTGTATTCGTCGGTTTGGCGTTTCTCTGAGCCGCCTCCTGAATTTCACGTTCCACCTCTTCTTTCATGTTTGGATGCAGTTCGAAGGTATTTTCAATGATTCTTTGAAGACTGGCTGCTGCAACAGAGGTATCTTCCGCCTGTTTCTTGGCCTTCTCCGCCACCTCGAGAGCACTTACTAAGTCGATATGTAGAGTGTTAAGCAAAGAATCTACTTTCTTCACTTTTTCCAAACACTCTTCAGCCAAATTCTTTTTTCCGCTTTCCCGTGAGGGACTTGTTTCACCTTTTTCTTTCAGTTTTTCAGCAGCGTCCTTAAGTTATACTGTCACGGATTTCAACTGCATTGACATTTGCAAAAATTCTTCCGAGAAAAATTTTGTTTTATTAGCTATCAAATACGACTTGTTAGCGGCATCAGTGGCTTCTCTGACTGTATATACTGCCTTCTTTACCGCCACTTTCAATTCACTCTTTATCTCATTCACATTTTCAGTCATACCCATAATATGTGGTATATCAGCTTCCATAATAAGTTTTTCATCTTCATGGGCTTTGCTTGCTGCATTCTGGGCACGCTGTACTTCTGCATTGCACTCTTCCCTTGCTTTCCTCAGTGAAGCAGCTACACTTTCTGTCTTACTTTTTTCCTCATTCATCTTAGCTTTCAGTTCTTTCGTTCGCTGTAAAATATCCTTTTCCTCGGGTTCTGCGGAAGGCGTAACACTTTCCGCATATGCCACACACACACAGCACTGCAGAAGTACCAACAGGTACACCACGCGGCGCAGTTGGACGAACATCGTTGTCATGATTGTCACTGTGGGTTGCTTGGGTCTGTGGTAACAAGGAAGAAGAGGAGGAGAAACAAAGAACACAAAGAGCAGTGCAAACACAACATCTATACACAGACACAAAGGAAAAGCAGCGCAGTACATGAAGCACAAAGAAGAATAAAGAAAAAGAAAACAAAAAGATATATTTACCAATCAGGTGAAGAACAAACCACGCCCACGTGACTGCACTCCACAGACACACAGAGATGTCTCTTAACAAATCCCAATACAATTTAAACCCGTGTATATATAATGAAAAAAGCACAATAAATTATTTCATTCCCTCTTTAGGAGCCTGCATCGCCCAACAAGTACATTTGGTACAAATGAGTATGCAGTCAAACCCCAAAGGAAATAGTTACAGTGAGGAAAGAAGAGAAAAAAAAAATTACACAGTGAATTCAACTACAATAAAAAACAAGCACACACAATAGAGGGGAACAGTATATAAATCAACTCTTCTGCAGATGGCTGCGCACACTCGCAGGGGCAGGCACAACAGTCCACCATCACAGCAGCACACTACACAGGTGCACGGGAACAACCAATGCTGCAGAAGGGAAACAAAAGTATATAAGCGAGGGGTAGCGCACAGAACCCCAGCAAAGAAAAATTAAAAAAAAAACAAGCACACATGCCTATAAGGCTAATAGACCTCAATGAACCCCAGTCAAGCAATCATCAACGGCCAGTGCGTCCCTGCGCTGCAATATCAATCAACCCACGGGCCATGCAGAGAAACAAACACGCAAAGAATATAGAGGGATTCACCGTGGCCATGCACACGTCCACCAGCAGCTTCCATCAGAACACCGCAGTGCAGCCCAGCACACACATCAGAACAAGAAGCAGCGATAAGGGACTGTGCACCAATACAGGACTGCTGCTGCTGTCACTTAACTGTGTATTATTAACAGAGATTGGAGCTGAAGAAGGAGAAACAGTTGGCATATTTTGTGTTTGCGAAGTTCCAGTAGCAGATGATTGACTGTCAGTCGGAGTATTGCTCTGAGAATTCTGATTTTTCTCTTGTGTCTCATCTTTGCTTTCCTTATTATTTTGCCCCTTAGAGCCCTGTTCATTCCGCTGCTGTTGGGCAGTTGTATGGCTTCCCGTCTCAGCTTCTGTGGAATTGGTATTCGGGTTTCTTGTATTTTCTTCATTCTCTTTATTTGGATGTGAACCATCCACCTCCTTATTTTCGTTTGGTGTCTTATTACCTTCACTTCCTGTATTCGTTGAATTGGCGTTTGTTTGAGCCGCCTCATTACGTTCTCGTTCAAGCTCTTCTTTCATCTTTGGGTACTTTTGGAAAACTTCATTAATTGATGCTTGAAGACGTTTTGCTTCAACGGAGGTAGGTTCATTCTGTTCCATGGCTTCCTCCGCCGCCTTCTTGGCACTTGGAATGAGATATTTGGCACCGTCAAGAGAATGCTTCAGACCCTCCGCTTCTTCCATGCACTTTTCAGCCAATTCCCTTACTTTTTCATTCTTAGCGTGTTTTTTAGCAGTTTTTTTAACGTCGTCCACCAGGCTGTGCAATTCCATTGTAACTCTCTGTAGTATATCCACCATATCCGTTGTTGCGAAAGACATCAACTTCGCGTTGTTAGCGGCTTCTTCGGCCTCTTTTGCTGCATCTACTGCCTTCCTTAACAACTCTTTTGATTCACTTTCGTTCTTACTCACGTTTTCATCCTTACGTATTTCTTCCAATAAGGGCTTCATAAGCACACTAACTGTATTCGCCTCATCCTTTGCCTTCTTAGCACGATTCAAAGCTTTTTTACAATTACTCTCTGTGCCCATTAATAACGCAACATTTTCATTAAAGCTGTGTTTCTGGGATTCCATCTTCTTAGTCATTTCGTTGAGCATCTCCGTAGGATCACTTTCCTTGGGTGTCACAGCCTTAGTACCACTTTCCGCATATGCCACACACACACAGCACTGCAGAAGTACCAACAGGTACACCACGCGGCGCAGTTGGACGAACATCGTTGTCATGATTGTCACTGTGGGTTGCTTGGGTCTGTGGTAACAAGGAAGAAGAGGAAAAGGAGAAAAGAGACGCACATTTAACACACAAGGCAGAGGGCACACAGCACCACAGAGAGAGAGAGAGAGAGTACACATCACAACATCAATCAAACACAACACAATGAGGGAAGCAACAGTAAACCACTCACACACTACAGAGCCAGAGTAGAGGCCAACACACACTATAAAACAAAAACACAAAGAGGAGAAACAACAGTGCACAGAACGCAACAACAGAAGCATCGTAGGGTGTAATAATGATTGGGCCAGCACTAGGAATGCAGATCATGTTGAGCTCATACACCAACAGAATTACAACACTACAAACAGAGAACTCTGGTATCGTCCATACAAAAGGACAGTGAATACAGCACACAGAAGAAACCACAAGCAATTACAATCAGCCCCACCACAACTACACTCCCTCACCTATCCCGCTGCTTTCATCTTGCCTCAGTGGGTATCCTGTGGAGCAGCATCGATTTATACAGCCGCCAAGGGACCTTTGTGTTTGAGGC